TAATAGTAACCCCTAATATATAATATTATAGTTAAATAATAATAAATAAGTATAAATAAAATAAAGGGAAAAGTAATAAAGTAGTTTATAAATAAAAAAATAAGGAGTAATAAAAAGACTTTATTATAGTATAAAGCTATAGAAAGGTGTAATAAAGCTAAAATAAACTTAAAATAAGTAAATAAGTAAGTAAAATAAAAACTCTAGAAATAAACTTTTTACTCCTCTTATTTAGTATAAATAGTAGTAGTAATATTAGTAAACTAAAAAGAGTTAGAATATTAAAAATAAGAGTAGAATAGAGATATAATAAACTTTATAGAGGATTTTAGCTATATCTAAGTAAACTTAAATAAAATAGTATAGTTAAGCTTTATTAAGCTTAATTAAAAGAGATATTAAAGTAGAAGTAATAATAAGAATATTAAGAATAAAAGTAACTAAAGAACTAATAGAAAGTATAAAGGAAGTATTAGTATTAATAATAGCTTTAGTAATAACTTTAATAATATATTTCTTTTTAACTTTAATATAAATTTTATAGTTTTAAATAGAAGTAGTATAAAAAAGCTTTATATAAGCTTTAATTTATATAAAAAGTTAATAAAAAAGTTAATAACTTTATTAGAATAATAAAATAATAAGGATTTATTAAGGTTTTCTTATTAATATTATAATAAGTAAAATAGTTATAACTAAGAGAAGTAAACTCTTCTTAGTAGTAAATTATATTTTTATTACTTTAGTAGATTATTAGCTTTATAGTATTAGAATAATAGAAGATAAGTATTTATATTAATATAAATTAATTTAATAGATTTATTAGAATAGTAAATATATTAAGTAATATTACTTAAAGAAATAGTTAGTTCTAAAATAAGCTTAAAATATAAAGATAATATATTTTATTTAAAGATATTATAATAAGCTATAATATTACTAAACCTCTTAGCTTTAGCTATAATAGATATATACTTTAAATAAAAGACTTTATAAGGAAGTTTTTAAGTATTATCTAAAAGGATATTACTAAAAATAAGCTAATATAAGTAAAAGTTCTAATAAAATATTAAAAAAGTAATAGAAAAATAAAATAGAAATATATAAAAATAAGTATTTTAATAATAAAATAGAGGGAGAGAAATTAATTAAAATAAGTATATAGATTTTAACTTTTTAGAACGTAAAGAGGGTTATTAAAGAGGTTAAACTTTTTAAGAATAAGTTTTTTATAGTTAGAGAAACTAATAAACTTAGAATATTTAGAGGGTAAAGTACTACTAATAATAATAGAGGGAGATTTTATCTCTATATTAGAGTTTAATAAAGTAAGCTATACTAAGTTAATTATAGTAAAATAATAGGGAAAAAATAAGTATTTTTATATAAGTAGTATTATTATAGAAGTAGAGAGAGTAGATTAATTAGATCTAAATAAGTTAGTAATTAATAAGGATTAAAAGCTAATTAACTTATATAAATAATAAGCTAAGAGTATACTAGAAATACTACTAAAATAATAAAAAGTTAGCTAAAATAATATTATAATTAATTAATTAACTTATTATTATATAGGTTAATAAGAGAAAGAAAAATAGGAAGTAAACTAAGTATAAAAAATCCTATTATTATATTATTTATTTATAAAGCGTAAAGTAATTAGTAGCTTAAATTAATATAATACTAGCTCTATTTATAGCTTATACTAACTACTTTTAGCTTATATTATAATTATACTTATATAAGAGCTAGAGGGGAGGTATATATTATAAGCTATACTTATTATTAATATCTAAGTAGTGCTATAAACCTAGGAGAATTCTGCTCTTAGTAACTATATTTACTTAACTACTACCTTATACTTATTTTTCCTCTATATAAGGGGCTTCTTAGAACCCTCCCCTCTTTAGCTTAGATTTCTATAATTAAGGCACCCCTAAGTTAAATAAACTAAAGGCTAGCCCCTTATAAGCTATACCTTTACTTAGTAGAGTTTACTTATAGAGGCTAGTTTTAAAGTTAATTATTACTAATAGATTATTTAATAAGTAATAAATATACTTAGCTACTATAAATATATTACTTATTATAAAAGCTAAATTAACTTATATACTACTAAATATTATATTATAAAAGCTAGAGAGCTTCTAAAGTAGTACCTTATTATTAATTACTAATAAATAATATATTTTTTTAATAAATATTACTTTAGTTTAAAGCTAAAAAGAAAGGTTTATATTATCTATAAACTTAAAGAGCGTTTTTATTTAAAGTATATCTAAGAGATTAATTTACTATAGGATTACTACTATAAATATATCTATATATAAGAAGTAGTTAGCTATAAGTTTAAAAGTAAACTAATCTTTTATAATACTAATAACTATAATAATAAGATAAGCTATAAGTACTATATAGAGTAGATTCTTAAACCTTACGTTAAGAAGTAGTTTAACTATAGTAATATGTTTATATTAGAAGAAAATAGAAATTCTAGCTATAGTCCCTCTAAGAAAAATAAAGTATAAGACTAGAAAATAGCTTATAAACTAAGTTACTACTTTAACTATTATAATAATTTAAATTAAAACTTTATTAAGAACTACTAGTTAGTACTAAAAAAAACTATATATTAATACCCTTACTAAAAAGAGGGCGATATATAGTAACTAATAAAAGAAGTATAATATAAGAAGCTTAAGTAAAAGTCTATTAATAAGTAAGTAGATTTAATACCTTTAAAGCTTAAAGAGATAATTATATAAGAGGGCTAAATAACTTATTAGTAATTAAGCTAGTTATTATTAAAAAAGAATTCTTTTAGTAGTTAAAACTATCAAATTAATGCTGTGTTACTAGTAGAAAAAAGGGGGGGTTAGGTGGTGTATACCTATAGTGTGCCGTTTTTTTTGCAAACCGGGTGCTACTATAGTACTGCGTACAGAACTTCAGACACGGCGGTCGGATCCCCTGCGCGAAATTCTGCTTAACACTTGGGCCTGTCACGCATCCCAATCCTGCTGTACAAGATACACTCTTCCATGCAGCCACAGGTTCGCACCTCGACGATGACGCAGCCGTTCCCTGAATCCAAGTCTTGACTTTGGCGTCCATGGACGACACACTCGTTGCAAAGCACGCGCCACCAAGTAAGCGCTGCTTGTGCAGTTTACACAGGCACAGCTTGATGGCCAACCATTCCGCATACTGCATAACCGCGCTACTGTTTCTTGTCGACTTGAATTCGCGCTAGAGCCTTGTTTCGAGACTCAGAGACTTGGCCGCTTCGCAAGACATTCACCTCCAATCCTTCCTCGATACCAGGAAGCCTCTGCCCTGGTTAACTCGCATCGTACGCGCCCAATGACCACTGGTCTAGTCAACCCTCCGCACGATGCAGACACGCATGCGAGACCATGATAGAAATACAGGCAAACTGAACCAAGCTGCCGTCATCACCATCATCAACGCCAGCATTTAAGCTGCTGCTACTGGCGCCGGCCCGCGCTGGTCGCCGCCACGCCTGCTGCCGCGTCCCCACAGCCGGGTGTAAATCTGCCGCCTCGCAACTTGGCAATTGCTTCAACGGTATTCGTTGGCGCGGCCGCGGCTGCAGGGACTCCAGCTAACAGGTTGTCTATCTCCAAGTACGAGGCATGAACATGGCAATGTCGCGAAAGCCTCGATGCATACATTTTGGCGGCTCCAAAACTCAATGTCCATCGTTCGGCCGCGACCGCACCAGGTGGACTGCATTGTTCGGTCGACTGCCGGGATATCCACGTCTTTCTGTGCGGCCCGCCTATCGTTCGCCCTGCCAATACACCGCTCAAACAGCTGGCCGCCTGTTTTTGCTTGACGGCAAGCCTGGGTTCGCCTTGTCAACCACCTGAAAGCGATCTTCAGGCTATGGACAATGTCCCCTACTCTTTTTCGATAGAGTGCTGCAGAATCGCTTCTTTCATGGCGGCAAACCATTCACAGCCCTGAGATGGGATTTGTGTGCTACGAGGTCCCCTGTTGCCAACCCTAGCCATCAGTTTCAATGCGCCTGCTACCAGGCCAACCCTGCCAGCGCGAATTCATCGGTTTGGAACACCAAAGTTGAGATGGCAGAGATTGCGTCTCAATGCGAAGGAAAGGGAGATGGAGAAGCACCATGATGCAAACGGGCGTGCGATATGAAACAAGGCCGTTGGACACCGCACGGCTGGGAGTTTTGGTACAGATGACGGCGAACGATGAGGTTCCAACTGTGGTTTCCAAACTCGCAGCTGCCCAGATTAACCTGGCTAGCACCACGTCGTGTCTCATTCGCCTCCTTCAGACTCAGGTTATTCCACGCGTTCTGAGCTGTCAAGTGTCACACTTTTTTTTACTGGCTTCGCGGCACGTCCCTCGACATCTTCGCAAGATGACTCGGTCATAGACTTGGCTCTGGAAAAGAGTGCGTCCAGACGTGTGGCTCATGACCCCTTTCCAGCCAATTGGATTGTCGCGGGGAGTCTTCAGGGCATGCAGGGTTTGCCAGGGTCTGGTCTTGGACACCTTGGAAGTTGTGAGGATTCAGCGAACCACTCAGTGGCATCTCGATGCGCGTGCCTCGTGTGATACTGCAGCCATCGCAAGCAGTGGCGTGAACATCCATATTGCGATGTGGCTCAGCAGATGCGATGCGCGGCTCACAATGGGGCTCGGGCGTCCAGCCTCGGAGGCCTACCTGGAAGCAATATCAAATGTATGACTATCATCACCGCAACAATCTTTGAGGCGAAGTGCTTGCTCACATCGTCCTTCATTGGCAGACAGAGCTATCGGCACGTATGCCGAAGCTCGGCATCCGGGGAGGCGACGGAAACCACTCCTAACTCACTTAGTGCCAGGCCATGTTGATCCTTCAGAGAAGCACACAACAGAGTTGAGGCTACAGGCAGGTACACTAACTCGGAACAGACACGGCGACTCGGCACATAGGTCATGTTGGCGGCCGCGGCATGACAATGACAGGCCTGTGCGGAATGTCATCACATCAGAAGCTCTCGACTTGCATTTCAGTCCTTATTTCTAGAAGTCGGCAATATCGGCCAGTGGGGGGCAAACTGGATAGAGTTGGGTTTCCAACACACTAACAAGAACACAGACGTTGGCAAACTGGCAGGAGTTCCTAATGCCATCGTCCGGCATCTTGGTAACCGCCCCGCGGCATCATCATTGTTTGTTTCGCAGCGGATGACGGGGGCACATCATTGCCCTTTATCGCTGGCGAATACGCCCCTGCGGAGCGGCATCACCCATGGCATCTTCTAGGAAATGCCTGCGACTTTGGCCGGTTCAACGAGCTTATTGTGCCCAACATCCAGGGGAGGCCCCAAACAGGAACAACACGGAGTCCAGGGGAGGCCTGATGAAGCTCCTCCAGAGCACCTCATACTGGTTACTTGGTTTTCCGACCTGTCCACGGGAAGCCTCCACGCAAACGCACATCATGGCAGTACGGATACTGAAGCGCTGCAAACACTTGCATGTGCCAACTGACACAGCTTCTGCTGCTTGGCTTGGGCACCAGCCACACTGCCACGAATACGGTCCCACCACGCATCAAGCTAGGCCGTTTTCGCCTTGGTGGTTAGCACGGAGGCCCTAGTTGCTTGATACGCAGTCAACGAGACGCCGGCGACATAACCACTCGTCAGCGCTTTCCTATTCGCACAGCTAGAGGGGCTGCACAACGAGACAGACACCGCTGCAGGGCGCCAGACACTTGGAATCCGCCCAGCCCAGCCCAGCCGACCGATCCAGCCCAGACTCCATCACCCACACGTCTCTTGGTGGATTGCTTTCTGGTGGAGGAAGAAACTGCACTGGAAATTTGGAGACACCCAGAAAAAAAAGGCCATTGCAAAAAGCGCCGGGCAGGGGGTTTACCAAGGCGCTGACTACATCATAGGTCGGTCACTGGCTGCAGAGTCACCCAGGGCCGGCATTCTGTTCAGCCCAGCGAGTCTTGACACTGTCCAGCCAGGAAGTTCCCTGGGATCCGGCAACGAAGCCAGTCAGCAATAGTAGCGTCTGGCGTGGTCCTTTTACTGCCGAAACCACACACCTGAACCGACAGAGAGAGACTGTGAAAGAGACTGGGCGGCATACAGTACAGAGCATGTACGGTTGACATTGGACTGCCCAGCCGGGACTGGTCTTGGGACTTGGGTGCACTACGTATTGCATCTGTCAACCCATGTTCGTGTCAGTGGCCCGTCAGCAAGCAGCAGTACTTTTATCAGCTACGTCTTCGTCCAGCGCAGCCAGCAGGAGGGCAGCCCAAATAATTCCAAACGCAAACCTGCTTTGCTCTAACTGTGTTGCTCCGTTCTATCCTATCGGTCTTGGTCGTCGCCTCGGCAGCAATCCCACGCAGCAGCAAAAGAAAAGAAACCGTCAAGGGACGTTGCCTTACGTACTGGCTGTAGCTGCTTTACGTTAAGCCGTACGTACTAAGCCCACCCACCATCAACATCCCATTCCATCTCATCCCGCTGCGTCCGCCATCGTAAGGTATTTCCCATTGCCTGCTGCCCCCTGCGCTACCGAATTCTTTCCCTTCTTCCCCTCATCTTCCAAACAATCCATCCCAAATCCAACCCATACATACCCCCGTCGCCTCGTCTTTTCTTGCGAGAGACGACAAAGGCAGAAGAGGCAGACCGTCCGTTCCGCTGCCCACCAACTGCGGTATCCTACCCTGCCCGAATTGCCTCCTCTTCCGCAGGAAAGAGAACGAGCGCAAATCCCTCGGAAGCTGCACACACAGGGCGTACACCGCACACACCGCACACCACTCACCGCGACCGCGTCGCAGGTGCTGTTCCCCCCGCCCGACATCATCCTTGCAGGGCCTGCTTCGAGTCCGCCAGTCGCAGCAGCCAATCTGCATCTCGCCTGCAGTGCAAGTGCTCGACACACGACTCCAGAGGCCAATTGCCCTGGCCACTCCACGCAGCTCAGTCCGGCAATCGCAGCCCGTCGAGGTCGGGATACCGTCGCATCGACAACCTCGCCGTACCTTGCCTTACCGTGAGAAACCCTGTCTCTTTTGGCTTGCCTTGCCTTGAGTAGTGTGCGCTGGTGAGTAGTCGGCCCCGCCTCTTCTTCTTCACACAGTCATCACCGTCGCTTCGGCTGGTCTTTTCTGGCCGCCCTGGTCTCGTCCGTACTTTATTCCTTTACAGAGTAACTCTACCTTACCTTACACTATCTTTCTCCACGCTGGCGAACAAGGGCAAATCAAACGGGGTTGTCATCGTCCTCCTACCGCCTCGCCTCGCCTCGCACGCCTCTCTCTCCCACACTCCAGTTCCCCAAAGCACATCGTCGTTGCCCCTCCACCCCTCATTTTTGTCGACATCTTCCCTGTCGCCAACACCTCACTCGTTGATTCACGTCCGTCCTCTGCACATCCACAGCATCTCCATTCCCCACCAGAACCTCCCCGAGACTTCTGCTGGTGCAGGTACATGTGGCGCTGCGCGCGGGGCTCCCATCCTCTCTTCACTGAGGCAGTCAGAAGGCAAAACGTGAGACATCGAGCCAACACGGACGGAGCTTGACTGGCCCGGACTTGCCTGCTGCTGCTGTGCTGTTGTTGATGCTCTTGCTTCTTGCTTCTGCTGCCCAGCATCTTCCCCCCTGCGGTATCTTGTCCGACTGGACTGGCCGTTGCTCAAGTGGACTGAAGCCTTCGGATACCTTACTCACAATCTACTTCGTACACACGCGTTACTTTCCCCTCTCCCCTCTGATCTCTCTCTTCCCTCCTCCACGCACCGCCATCCGCACCGCACGCCATTCCTGACTTACCACTCAGAACCCTACTCTCCCGCAGAGCGAGACACTCTCACAACCAGTTGTACCTAGCAACTAGATTTTGCCTTCTCCGCCCAGCAAATCAACTCAACACTAAGCTTCTTGCTTTTTCTTCTCCCGCTCCCATTAGGAGGTCCGAGGGTGGAATGGAATAAGGCCCCCCCGGCTGTCATTGACTGATCTCATGCACGGCGCCTGACTCTGACTCTCTGATCACGTCGGTACGTCCTGCTCTTTTGCAAGTTTCTCATACCTTAGTACGATACGCCTCCCGCTTCCTTTTCTCTGGCTCGTCCCGCCTCGTTCTTCTCCTAGCGCCGTCCCCATCTCGTTGTACCTTGCCTTTCCAGACGGGACCATTTTCTTATGCCCATGCCTGTCTCCCATGTGTTGTGCTCGCACCGCTCAGCGTCCCATCCCATCACCGCACATTACATTATCACGGTCAACCCTGCATCCCTCCTCAAACCCCCATCATCCCTAACTGGCCCCTCGATGCCCGACACTCCTTGACCCGACCTTTACGTCTCCTCTTCCTATGGATACCCTCACTTGCTTTTTGCCAGCGCATAGAACCATCTCATGCACCTAATCTGGCCCTGTACCCCAGACACTCTTTGCTCCCTATTGTTCCTGAACCAATCTTCTCTTACAAGCACACGTTCAAACTTCAACACCTCCCATCATCCTTTTTTTATATACCCGGCATTCCACGCATCTCTGCGACAGGTTGCGTGATAGCGGACTCCCTCTATCACTCGGCCCCTCCGTTCATGAATCTTCCAGCCCACAGCGTCTAACAATGCCGACAATGACAGATTCGGAGCGACCTCGGCGAACGGAAAACTGGATTCCAACATCCACCCGAGGCGGCGTCTACTACTGCCCCAGATACCTACTAGACCCCCCTTCTACACAACAGCAACAACAATCCCGATTGCCGACGCCGCCCATCCGCGCTCGCCAAGTAAGACCGAGGTCAATACACATCACGTCCTGGCCTTCCGGCTTCGTACCCCACGAACTTCGACCTCAACCGGAGCGCCCCGCCAAGAGGAGGAAGCCTTCAAAACCAGTCTCGCCCACAACAACAGCACTGGGCAAGTCTTCATTCAAGTTCAGCATCAAGCAATTTTTCTCCCTCTCCCAGAAGCAAGTCCCGAGTCGATCAACATCACGCGCATCAACCGCAAACACACTCTCGCGGCCGCCCAGTAGATCAGCAAGCATCCTCAATCGACTTTCAACTTACAGAGAGGTGGACTTGGTGGTTCCGGAGGAGGACACAATGGCACTACGCTCAGCTGCCATGGCCGAGGCCTTGCGGCCCCCTCTGATGAGTGCTGCGTACAACACCCCCGGCCAACGAAGCAGCTTGATGTCGGTCCGTACTGCAAAGAGCAATGTCACGTCAATGGTCACCGAAATCCCCAAGCCGGTCGCACACGGAAGCGGTGTAAGCTGCTCCATTCTCATGGCTGAGCCCAACATTTTCCTCACTGGGTTCGAACACGACGGCCACCGCCACCACTCGCAGGGCGGAACTGCCCTGCTGCGCGGAAAGTTGCAATTGAAGGTATCCAAGAACGTCAAGATCAAGGGTGTGAGCCTGAAGTTGGTGGGCAAGGCACGAACCGAGTGGCCAGAGGGAATTCCCCCATTGAAAGTCGACCTTTATGAGGAGGAATCATTACGAACCCAGGTTCTAACATTTTTCAACGCTGTGAACGATGGCTGGGAAACCGAATATGGAAACCAATGTCAATACGTGCTGAAGAACAGCTCTTCGAATTCTTCTTCAACAAACCTTGCCCCCGGCGGATCGCCTCGCAACTCGATCTCCCCGTCGCTTCTCTCGATACCCCCCAACCGACAAGGTCTCACTGCGAAGGAACTGAAGCGCCTGTCTCTGCAGTCCAATCAGTCGCGCAGTTTCGGAAAGGGCGACAACCCCAATGGCAATCAAGCCAAGGGTTACAAGGTGTTCTACCCCGGTCTCTACGAGTACACCTTTGAGCTTCCAATCGATCACCACCAGCTTGAGACGACCAAGCTGCAATATGGCTCGGTGAAGTGGGAGCTGCAGGCCACCGTCGAGCGCGCCGGTGCGTTCAAGCCTAACCTGCACGGATCCAAGGAGGTTGCCATCGTGCGCGTGCCCGATCAACTCTCGCTCGAAATGACGGAGCCCATCTCCATCAGCAGGCAATGGGAAGACCAGCTTCACTACGACATCATCATATCCGGCAAATCATTCCCAATTGGCACCAAGATCCCGATCGCATTCAAGCTCACGCCACTCGCCAAGGTACAGGTGCACAAGCTCAAGGTCTTTGTCACCGAGTCAATTGAGTACTGGACCAACGATCGCCG